CACTGTTATAAGTAATTTGAAAATTCTTGCTTTATTTTGGCTAAGCTGACTCTAGATTCAGTTTACTATCCTTTTATCATTCTTATTCAGACAAGTCAAATCCTTTAGGTTACAGCTAATCTTGAGAATCATTTTTATACTTGCTCCACAATTTATAGATAAACATATGGCTATTCAAATTATGTGTGTGCATATGTATGTTTCTTGTGTATATATGCTTGCATATGTTTATATATGTATAATATGTATATATAACTCATATGTACACATTCATTTACATCCAAGTGTAAACAGAAGCTCACAGACTTATACTTAGGAGTGGGTATGTGTGTATGAGTGAGTGAGTGAGTGTGCGTGTGTGTGTGCGTGTGTAATTTCTTCCTTTGGTTTACTGCCTTAATTTTACCAACTATTTACTGGCTTCTATAATGTGTCACAGTCATTCTTTTCCCATCATTTGACTGTGCTGATCTCAAATTCCCTTTAACGCTGGGAGCTGCCTGTCACTGGAGCGTGACAAAAGACTGGTTCTATTAGGTGTGGATGATGCACACAGCTATTCCAGAAGGTGAGGTAGGAAGATGCAAGTAAGAGGCCAGGCCTGGAAACTTAAATTGAGTTTTAAAAAGGGCTTGGGAGTCTTTCCCTAACATGCTTGGGGCCTTGGGTTCAATCCCTAGTATGGCCAAAAAAGAAAACAAAAACAAAAACTCATTTTCAGCTAAGTTTCCAGAAGTGATAGTGACAATGGGCACAGAGCTCACTTGGGAATTCCAGCAACAATCTCATCTGTAGCGTAGAAGCCAAAACAGATCTCATTTGGTTAGAAGCTGTGTGTCAATGCTAGGGGACCTCACTCTTGTAACTAGTGACCTTAAGGCAGAAAATCATTAGGGACCAGGAGAAGTGAAAAGATCAAAATAAGAAGTCGTTCCTGGGTCAATTTCCCTAAGCTGAGGAATGGACCTAAAGCACCTCTTCCCACAACACTGCTTCTTACCCTTTTACTCTAACTCTGCAGCTGGGCTGAGGCACTGGTGTTCTCCTTAATTCAATCACTATATTCCCTGCACATATGAGAGACAAAGGCTTATACAATCAATGTGTTTTAAGTCTTTTACTGGGCCTAAAGGGAAGCTACAGATGTAGACAAAACCTATAGCATGTACACATACAAACATGTAAGTGGGTTATCTAGTGACCCCAAAAGGTATCACGGGAATCCTGATATCCAAGGATACTTAGTTGGTGTATTGGGGAATAATGACAAGAATAACTACACATGTTCAGCAAAAATGCAATCTTTCTCTAAATATTTTCCACCCATGGTTGGTGAATTCACATTTGTGGCACACATAACTTTGTATGTGGTAATCTGATTCAGCAGCCAAAGAAAATTAATACAGAATATTTAATATGCTTCTCAGAATAGTAACATGATATAATCTAAAAGGAAGCTTATATAAAGTATCTGATACAATGTAGAATAAAAATTTACTGAGGTTCTGACCACATGTATGTTACACATATAGAATTTCCTTCAAATCAATGCTCAGCATAGCATAAATAAAAGTGGTCTCTCTAAGCCTCTGCATTCTGTATTTTTTCATTTTTATTCTTGACATAAGCATGAATTTTTTATTCTAAAAATCTAAAAAGATTGAACTATTCTATAAATATTTATTATTATTATGAGTCATCTACCAGAGTGTACTTTTGAAATTAAGTTCAGTAAATTTGTTCACAATCGTGTTCTTTCTTCCAGGAACTGAACAGCCTAGCTTTGAGGAAAATGCTCATCATAAGAAGACTCTCTGAATTAACAAAGAGATAGGCTTAAAAAGAAGGACGGCAGAGCCCCAAATTCAAAACATTCTTTAAAGTCAGGCACTAGTGTCAGTGACAGCAATATTGTAGTTACATTTCAGTTACCCTTCCCCCTCCTGTCTCATTCTCACCTCTGGAAAGAGACATTAATAATTAGGAAAAAAGTAAAAGTCCTAAGCATTTCCTTCAAGATACCCCTAAATTCTAACATTGAAAGTAATAAATGGAACATCACAGCTTTGGGGAGATAAACTGTTTAGGCAATAAAAAAAAAATATTAATCAGGAAAATCTTACATGTTGTGGCAAGAAAAAAACTTACTGGTACTATAAAAAAAAAAAAGCAAGAAAGTAGCTTTAAACAAGATAAAAAAAAATGGGTCCTGTTCTTAACAGTGAAAAAAGTTTGTATTTCTGTTAACCTCATTGAAAAACAACAAAAGTCATTCAGATACTAGGGCCAGGACAAAATACCTTGTTAAAAGCAATTAAACAAACTAACACCACTTACAATTACTAGTTGGTCTTCAATAATAGTGCAACTAACAATGTGCCATATACCAAGTATACAAAGACTGGATGCATCTTAAAATTCAAGCAAGCTACTGATATTCTAATGCAAAAACTTTCAGGCAATTATTTGCAATTTTACCACACAAGTATAAGTAACCCAGAATAACAAATATTTTAAAGAACTTGATCATTATGATTAAAATTTTTTATATTTTCTTGACTTTAGAAAAGTCCCTGTATCTTTGGCAAATCTCCTTAAACAAATTTACAGATTCTAACATACATTTGAAATAAGTTCAGAAATGCTAGTATTTATCCAGACAGGATGAATTATATACTGTTCTACTTGTACATAAAGAAGTGACTAGAAAATAAAGCCTAAACTCTCCTTCCTAAGTGAACAATGAGCAATATTAAAAAGATATTTAACAATTAAATGATACAGTGTCTGGTTTTACACTCTTCCTCAAGTTTCACTTTTATGTAACTCTTCCCTTCACAAATTCCACTAAATTTAATTATAACAGAATGAATGTCATAAATTCAGTATAAAACAGATTTTGAATGTCTTTGCCTTATAAGTACACTTTAATGCTCTGAAACTTAAGAAAATACATCAAGTTTCTCCATTAAGTATTAACATTATAAATCCTCATAATTTTACAAGGATTTCTAAAAATCTAGACCATGTACCATTCCCACCAAGAATTTAAGTCAATATTACAAGATTATAATATATCAAAAAACTATGATTCTTTCAAAACATATACCCAAAGATACATGTATACATTGTGCACATGTTCAGATATGTAACAACAAAGCCAAATCTGTGTATAATTATAGTATACCAACAAAATAATAAAATAATAAAGGGGGAGTGTGTATGTGTGACTGTGTGTGTGAGAAAGAGAGAGAGAAAGAGAGACAGATAGACAGACAGACAGACTATACACATGCAGGCAAGCACATGCACACACCTGAGGTTATTTGTTAAAAATACACTCCTAAAACATAAATGTGATAAGTGTGGTAGACACCTAGAGTGCTAACCAACAACAAATTAACTTTTCATCTTTACATGTAACTATCATGATTACTTAAAATCATGTACATAGCATTTCATATTATATATTGATCAATTTAGCTTTTGGCAAAACACAAAAAATATATTATACTTCTCCAGAGTAAGATAGTACTTTTAAAAATTATACAGATTAACCATTAGCAGAGTGAATTTATTTTCCCCAACAGTGCTAAAGATATGCAAAATTTTCACTATTTAGAGGTACACAGTAAATGATTAACACCAGCACTGCTCATTATCTCGCTTAACAAAACTTCTCTAAAAACAAATAAATCAAAAAGGCCTCAAATATTCCTGAATAAATAAATTATAGACCTATTCAGTGGCAGCAATGATATTTTAAAAAGCTTGTGCAAGCTCATTGTACAATTTTATTACAAAACTGTACTTGATAAAAGAAAAAACTGTCCACTTTTTAATTCTCAGCATAGTTCTACTAGAAGGAATAGCTTCTCAAAGATGAAGAAACTTTATAATAGCAACATATCTAGGAAGTGTTAACCCTGTGTTCCAACAGATTACAGTCACTGCTAATTAGGAGCAGATACTTCTCATAAAGACACTTTTAGGAGCCAAGACTATTTTTCTCTCATAATGAGAATATAAGGATAATGACAGCTAATAGGAGTCATAACTATGTGAACACAGACAATAAATGAGAACGTTTATATAATGGGAAACATAATTCTTAACTTTAAAAATATGTGTTTAGGTAGGTTGCAGAGAATTGTTCTTTTATTTCTACCTAACCCCACACAACTTTTGCACTGAACAAATGTTTTAGGTTTTAGGCAAAAATAGGCAACCATAACACCTTTGCCTATATTTCATAAGAGGAAAAAAAATTGGTACAGAAATAGTAGTAATTAAGCATAAATGTAAAGAGGAAAAAAATTAATGAAGTGATAAAATTACATTACTTGAAAGTGAAAATCAATGTATTCAAAGATTCAATAAAGCAAGTCTGTAGCATACTAAAGACTATAAGCTAAAATCTAGAGCTCCAATGCGATAACCTATATTTCATTCAACCACTAAAAAACCATTTCCTTTATAAATGATAAAATTTAAAACACTAGAAGACATAATGCAGAAAATGCTTATCATTCTTCTAATCCTACCTTTGGAAATACCCTTTAAAATAATTCTACCTAAAAGTTATTGATATTTCAAAAATCCAAAACATGCAAAGTAATTCATTTCAGAACACAAAAAGTAGGCTTCTTATTGGTATAAAAGATATTTCCTGGAATTAAAAAAAAAAAAAGCATGTAAATTGAGGTGACTGAAACATGCTTTCATCTAGCAGAGTAATATGGTAGCTATTCATCACCTGAAGTCATAAAACACTAGGTCTCGTCCTTAGCATATTCTAATGAAGCCTATCATGCAAATGAGAGTGACCTTTTCCTTGCATTCTGCAAGTTCACATTTATTCCAGGAGTATATAGGGTTTGCCAATACAAACTAGCCAAAGACTGCATAATTACTGTAATCAATTAGTAGTTAGTGTCATTCTGCTCATTTTCAGCTAATGTCAACTAAGCCATTTTTGAGAGAGCCACCCAGACAATAGCTTTTCTGTTATTTTTTTTAAATATGGGAGGAAAAAAGAAAAAAAAAAGATGAATACATGCAAACTTTCCAATATGGCTGCAAGGTTGCACCCTTCCCAAAGATGTTAAGATTCAAGACAAAGCTCTAAAAGTTGATAATGGACAAAGACTTTCTGGTAAAGTTGCATATCCTTAAAATGACATTGAAGTTTGCTGCCTATACAATTAAACATTAATATTTAAATATTTAAATGAAGGACACTCTCCTGTGCAGCAGTTCAGACTTGGTAGAACTTGGGCACTCTTCTCAACGGTTGAGTAAACAGGCCGTACCCTCTGCTCAGAAACAGTCTATTCTGCAGACAGTTATGGATAGGAAACATTACAGCAGCCGGTAATTAAAGTAAAAACTAATACTGTCTCAGAGATGGGGAATTTTGCAAAGGAAAATCATTTATCATGGCTTACAGTTCTCACAACTGAAATGAATTATCTCATTCTTTAGCACATATCCATTTTAAGCTGTTATATTTACTAACCTAAAAATGGGGCCCACTTGCTGATCTTAATTGAATTAGCTAATAGCCATGGAACAAAAACAAAACAAATGTTAGAAAAATATTCTTCTACACACAGCACAACATAAAAACCTTGAAAATTAAAGTGAGGGCATAAACTGCCCCCCCTCCAAAAAAATCCACACCAGATAATTTTTAAAAACCTTTAGTATTTTCTTCCAATGTAACTGTTTTTAAAATTTGCTCAAAGGATTAAGAAAAATACTTTCCAGCTGCTAGATGCTAAAGAAAAAGGTTTATTTCATCCCAAACAATATTCTATCACTGTCCCTAGCCTAAACATGAAGGACAACATAGCCAAAGTTCACTTCTGGAAACATTAAATATGTAACAACTAACAGATATAACCCATACATTTATAACAGACAGAAAAGAGATATACCATTGCTATGCTGGAAAGAAAATTTATTTGTTGTATATTGGAAGTTACCAAATAAAGAAAATAAAAATACTTTCATGAGTAATTTCCCTGATATTCATGAATTAAAACAAAACAAAACAAAACAAAACAGCACAACTAAACACAAGCCTTGTTTATACATGCCAACCTGGGATACCCAAATGTTCATCTCCTTTAATAAATATGATCCAGTGATCTTAAGTTAAAAAAAAAAATCCTATTTGGAAGACATGCTTTAAAAAAGGTACATAAATACAAATGCATACTCTATGATGACATAAGTGTGTGTGTGTGTGTGTGTGTGTGTGTGTGTATATACACACATGCACCTTTATTTTTCCAAAAAGAAAAAAGGAATTGAAACAAATATTATAAACATAAAACAACAACCCCCAAAAGGCACAAAACCACATTCATATACCAAGTGAGCACATGTAGTTTCTTTATTTCCATATACCTGAAAATATCACCCTCAAAAGTAATAAACTGCAATCTCTCTTGAAATTAAAAATATATATAAGTACCTAAGATTAAGTACCTATGGACAAAAATACTATCAAACTAAAGACACTGTTATTTATTAAAAAGCCTATGACCATGTATAAAAATGACTTTCCAAAACAAAACTGAAATATATTAAAATGACATTAAGTTCTTCCAGGTATCACCTGATGATCTTAGAAGACTGAAGTACAGTGGTCTATCTTAATAAGTGACTATATAATCGTGCAGTTTGTGGATAAAGCCTTCTTTAGAAGTGTTTGTTTCCATGGCGATATTTAGAGTAAAAAGAGCAATCAAGTAGCAATGAGTAAGTGACACTGAGGATTGATTGGTTTACTTCTGCATACTGCTGGAACTAGTCACCTCATGGAGCGTCAAACACACACACACTTGTCGATAGTGACACAGAGCCAAACAGCAGGAAGATAGTTCTTTTCATTCTTGTCAGAAGAATAACCTGATGTGGGCCTTTGACAGTTACCGAGAGGGGACAAGAGTGAACAAGATGAACAAAATAAATAAAGAAAAACAAGAATAAATTTGAAGGGCCTAAGGCTTCTCAAAAAAAAAAATGATGCCAGGGACAGAACATGGAGCAGTTGCTCAGCTTGTCTGGAACAAAAGGCTAACATGAAATGCTTTACAAGAGATGAAGCTAAGGGAACGCTGCTGCTCAACCACAGGATGACGCCTGTATGGTAAACACTT